TTGTCTGTCAATTAACCTCTTCCCCAGCCCTGTCAACTTGTTTACAGCACAGTGGGATAGGCCTAGTTACATCAGAAGGGTAGGCCTAGTTACAAGCTATGGAGACTGGAGAGTCTAGCCTATAAATTATGACCAAAGATGAAAATCTGAAGAGAGAAAGAGAAGGAAAGAGATTTGAGCTGTGTGTGTGAGTGGGAGAGCATTTGAGCTGAATTCTGGCAGACATGTTCATATGACTCCATGAGAAAAAAAGGGTAGTGGTTCACACAGTGACAGAGGTCTGATGCTAGGGTGGGACAGTAAGGAGTAGATGACTATAGAGACTACTCACCAAGGGAGGGGTCAGCGGTAGGATGGGAGAGAATTGTCATTGAAGTGCACTGTCATCTGGAGCTGATCCAGACAATAATCACTCTCTCTCACACACACACAAGCATGCAAAAGTGCACACATACACAAACACGCATGCAAAAAGGCACTCACGCGCACACACACTAAATTAAACCAATAAACACACAACTGAAGTGGTTTGCCCCTGTTCTGTCCCATAAAAGATGAGTGGAGGAGGGTGGATAACTTTTCACAGAGGGGAGGAGGATGGCTATGGGGTCATGGCCAACCCATAGCCTAACACAATACAAGGTAATTTAGCCCCTTGGGAACAGACCCAAAATGAACACAATGCAAACAGAGAGAGAAAGTAGTTGGATGAGAACATTCAGTCACAGAGAGAGAGAGAGAGGAGTATTTGGATGAGAACATCCAGTCACAGTGGGCCAAGGGCAGACTGACAATATGGAATGTGATCAGGGTTACAGTTGATCCTGTTCTTTGCTGAAGAAGTAACAGTGCAGCTGGCAACAGAAGCCTGTAAGGGCCATCATCCTGGCCATGCCAACTATTATAATGTGAGAGTAAATGGGTGCTGGTGTGTAAGTGAAAGAGTGTTTGGTTCTGGCTGCTAGTGTTGCCTGCATTCTTTGGGATTGGGAACATTGTGGACATAGTTAACAAGTTTGTTTGCCATATAACATTGGTAGTTAACTTCATAAATCTACAGTGGCCTGTCAAAATGATATCCTGAATAATTCTGAAGTTTTCAACTTTGTGGTGCGTCTTTACTAAGTACTAGTAATACTAACACAAAACAAATAATATTGAGCTCTTTATTTATTTCACATATGCATTCATATGTGCAATCTGTTGGTCAGTCAGATTACATTGTTTTACAAGTTTCAGTAGTATAGGGCATGTTGGCAAACCTCTTGAATTCTCCTCATATAAAGATCCACCGGCAGGTATAGTAGAGATCTCGTTATTGGTAAACTTGGTGGCTGAACTGAACACGTTAGAACCGGTCAAAACCTGTTAGAAGCGTCCAAACTGGTCAAAACCTATTCAAATCGGTCAAAGCCTCACTAGAACACACATGCAAGAAGAGTCCAGGAGTGTGTTAGGTAGATACAAAATGGAAGAAAATGTTCCAAAACTGGGTGAAACAGCAATGTACTATCTGGACTTTCCTTTTCCGTTGCTAAAAGTTTTGCTACGGTATACCCCAATGAACACGACCCTGCTGTTAACTGTAAACTGTTTGTTAGAGACGTCGCTACACATTACCAGACAAGGGGTAGACTAGCTTGCCAACATGCCGATAATACAATTGTAATGTGCCGTCCACAAACTTCCAAGAGAGTGGACCTTTCTGCGTGTTTATTACCTTTCAATAGACATATTTCCAAATATCTCTGGAACGTAGAATGAATGCCTTTGTTTTCTAGTATATTACTTTTAAAAAGTACACAATAGAATAATGTACATTGAACATGATTCAAAAGGAGTATTATATTCACAAACCTTTTTCATCCATACATAAAACATGGGTTTGGAGACTGTGATGCTACACATTCTATGTCTCAAATGACACCACATTATTCCCTATATAGTGCATTACTTTTGACCAGGGTCCATAGGGCTCTGGTCAAAAGTAATGCACTATTTGGGAATAGGGTGCCATTTGGGACACACCCATAGTTCTCCTCTGTGCACATCCATACATACAGTGAGGGAAAAAAGTATTTGATCCCCTGCTGATTTTGTACATTTGCCCACTGACAAAGACATGATCAGTCTATAATTTTAATGGTAGGTTTATTTGAACAGTGAGAGACAGAATAACAAAAAAAAAATCCAGAAAAACGCATGTAAAAAATGTTATGAAATTGATTTGCATTTTAATGAGGGAAATAAGTATTTGAACCCTCTGCAAAACATGACTTAGTACTTGGTGGCAAAACCCTTGTTGGCAATCACAGAGGTCAGACGTTTCTTGTAGTTGGCCACCAGGTTTGCACACATCTCAGGAGGGATTTTGTTCCACTCCTCTTTGCAGATCTTCTCTAAGTCATTAAGGTTTTGAGGCTGACGTTTGTCAACTCGAACCTTCAGCTCCCTCCACAGATTTTCTATGGGATTAAAGTCTGGAGACTGGCTAGGCCACTCCAGGACCTTAATGTGCTTCTTCTTGAGCCACTCCTTTGTTGCCTTGGCCGTGTGTTTTGGGTCATTGTCATGCTGGAATACCCATCCACGACCCATTTTCAATGCCCTGGCTGAGGGAAGGAGGTTCTCACCCAAGATTTGACGATACATGGCCCCGTCCATCGTCCCTTTGATGCGGTGAAGTTGTCCTGTCCCCTTAGCAGAAAAACACCCCCAAAGCATAATGTTTCCACCTCCATGTTTGACGGTGGGGATGGTGTTCTTGGGGTCATAGGCAGCATTCCTACTCCTCCAAACACGGCGAGTAGAGTTAATGCCAAAGAGCTTGATTTTGGTCTCATCTGACCACAACACTTTCACCCAGTTCTCCTCTGAATCATTCAGATGTTCATTGGCAAACTTCAGACGGCCCTGTATATGTGCTTTCTTGAGCAGGGAGACCTTGCGGGCATGCTGCAGGATTTCAGTCCTTCACGGCGTAGTGTGTTACCAATTGTTTTCTTGGTGACTATGGTCCCAGCTGCCTTGAGATCATTGACAAGATCCTCCCGTGTAGTTCTGGGCTGATTCCTCACCGTTCTCATGATCATTGCAACTCTACGAGGTGAGATTGCATGGAGCCCCAGGCCGAGGGAGATTGACAGTTATTTTGTGTTTCTTCCATTTGTAAATAATCGCACCAACTGTTGTCACCTTCTCACCAAGCTGCTTGGCGATGGTCTTGTAGCCCATTCCAGCCTAGTGTAGGTCTACAATCTTGTCCCTGACAACATTGGAGAGCTCTTTGGTCTTGGCCTTGGTGGAGAGTTTGGAATCTGATTGATTGATTGCTTCTGTGGACAGGTGTCTTTTATACAGGTAACAAACTGAGATTAGGAGCACTCCCTTTAAGAGTGTGCTCCTAATCTCAACTCGTTACCTGTATAAAAGACACCTGGGAGCCAGAAATCTTTCTGATTGAGAGGGGGTCAAATACTTATTTCCCTCATTAAAATGCAAATCAATTTATAACATTTTTGACATGCGTTTTTCTGGATTTTGTTGTTGTTATTGTCTCGCACTGTTCAAATAAACCTACCATTAAAATTATAGACTGATCATTTCTTTGTCAGTGGGCAGACGTACAAAATCAGCAGGGGATCAAATACTTTTTTCCCTCACTGTACACACTACAGAAACATCACAGACAAATGGTCACCATTTTATGAACTCTGAACTCTACCTTGTGCCTAGTTCAGAACAGTGCAACGTTACAGAACATTTAGTTCAGATAGAAATGTATCATGTAGAACAGTTCTGTCATGTTAGAATAGATCTGTCACGATTCCCCAATCAGTTCTATGTCACTGCATTTCTGTCTGCAACATCACACTCTGAACATTTCACCTCACGGAATACACCCCTGAACTACTTCCAAAACGGCACCCTATTCCATACACATATATATATATATATATAGTGCACTACTTTTTACCAAAGCCAGTGCAGTAAATATGGAATTAGAATGCCATTTGGGAGGTAGCCCTTGTCTATCTATCCCCACCCTCTGGCTAGTAAGGTCATCAATGCTACTCGAGTGTATGGATTCTTCCATCCGTTCTAGAGGACAGATGGCATATCTGGTTAAGGGAATGTGTGTGTTTGTGTCTAGCAAAGCCTGGGCATCAGAGGCTAGTGTGTGTAATTTGTTACTCATTCCTTGATTTAATCAGGGGCAGCCCTTCTTCAAACAGAAGACTGTGGTAAACATAACAAACATAGTCCCTCAAGTCACAACATTTGCACAAATATTCTCATTGAAAGAAAAAAAAACTAAACATAATACATGGAAAGATTACATTAGTTTCAGTCCCACTCAAAGCCTGGCACGAAAGTCAAGATTCACAGTATTAGATGAATACATTTTCTTGCATAATGAAAACCCCCACAGTCAGTCAGGCACGCACATACACACACGTTAACACATTCACTCGCTTGTATGATCTCCTCTTCCCACTTAATAGCAATTTGAGTAATGCATATTTCCGTCATTCCCACGCTTAGCACACAGAGACAGAAGAGAGAGAGAGAAGACACACACAGGCCCTGGTGGTCTTCATTCCCTGACTTTAGTGAGCATCCATGACCTCACTAGTTGGTGGGGAAAAAATATTTTATTTCCTTCTTAAATTTTTCCTTTACCTCCCTCAAACCAAAGGTCAAAGGGTCAAGCAGCTGCTTCCGTCACAGGTTGGGAAGCACTTTACACAAGTTATTATCTGTGTCAATTAGAAATACACATTAGATAAAAACAGCTTATTTTAGTTAAGCAGAGTGGTATCAGAGACACTCCCCAATAGCCCACCCTCTGATAGAGGAGAAGTTAACAGGGTCCTCCATCTTGGGGTGGTGTGGAGCTGACAGGACTGTAGTGGGTGGGTGGTCCCATAGTACAGCTCTTCCCTCAGTCCAGGGTGCTCTGCCGATCCAAAATGGTGCCAGTTTCCCAACAGACCTTCCTACCGACCCTTCTTCAGGAGTTTGGAGTTTCCCTGGAAAAGGCAGAATGAGGTGAAGTTATATATCATGCATGGTAAACTAAGACTCACAATACACTTTTTAATTAACATTAAAACGATAAAGCAAAAGCAGGAGAGCTAGTCCAAGTCTCAACACTTCTGCTCTGGTACTGTAATCTGGAGATAGTAATGGCATTTGGACATGCAGTAACTTCATTTGGGGTAGCCCTTCTTTGAATAAGATTGTGGTGTTAGTACGTGACCAGTGATCACTCATGAAAGAAACCCCATGAATGTGTCTTGGTTTTGAAACATTGTTCGTTCCATTCTAGAGTTTCACTCACAGCTAATCATGTCGTCGTTTTATTTCTTTACACTTGGATTGTATTCAGGTTGAATTGGCTTGTGGTGGCAGTCAAGTGCTGACATTCACACACAATAGCTAGGTTTGGTGAAATCCATACCCTCAGAACTTATACACGCCTTCTGTCCTGAAACTGCCCCACATGCACTCTCATTTCAGAAGTGTTTTAAGAGAAGTGAGTTTTAACAGAAGGCCTCTTCATCTACTTTAGCAGCCCAGCCAAACAGTAATGAATTGTTCAGATGTCAGCCTCAGACTCCAGCAGGTGCTTTTCCTATCAGACCCTGCTGTCCCCCCCATCCCCCACTGGCCCCCCATCCCCCACTGGCACATCCCGGCTCCCCTCACAATGGACAGTAGTTTGTTACTGGGATATGTCTACACAGCATGTCAGCATAACCTGACCTAGTACTGCTTCTCTTGCTGTGTGGGCCAGTGAGTGACATTTTTTATTGAACCTTAACTTATCAAGGTTAGTCTCAAAGAGATCAAATCTGTTTTGCAAGAAAGACCTCATCAATATAGTAGCAGTCAACATACAGTTTGTAGGAAGTGAGTGGGGTGTGAGGGGACTCTATACCTTGCTGCCCAGTTTGAGTGTGTCGATCTCCTCTCTCTGTTTGCTGAGGGTCTCGTTCATGCTGCACAAGTGGTCGCTCATCATACTGAGCTGTTCCTTGTAACTCCTCTTGGTCGTGGCTAGCTCATCCTGTAAGAAAAGGAACATGTTGTGGCTAGGTAGAGCCAGTACCACCCAAACATCAACATATGTCAAAATGTCACGTTTCTATGTTTTGTAGTAAAAAATAGGAGGAAAATGACATCAACTACTCATAATTGGTTAAAATCACACGATGCACACCGATGTCATTGGAAACACTTATTTTCCTCTCTTTTTTACTACAAAACATAGAAATGCGCAATTTTCACATACAGTGCATTCGAAAAGTATTCAGACCCCTTGACTTTTTCCACATTGTTATGATACAGCCTTATTCTAAAATTGATGAAGGAAAAAAAAAGAAATACTCAATCTACACACAATACCCATAATGACAAAGCGAAAACAGGTTTTTAGAAATGTTTGCACATTTATTAAAAATTAAAAACAGATATACCTTATTTACATAAATATTAAGACCCTTTGCTATGAGACTCGAAATTGAGCTCAGGTGCATCCTGTTTCCATTTATCATCCTTGAGATGTTTCTACAACTTCATTGGAGTCCACCTGTGGTAAAATCAATTGATTGGACATGATTTGGAAAGGAACACACCTGTCTATATAATGTCCCACAGTTGACAGTGCATGTCGAGCAAAAACCAAGCCATGAGGTCAAAGGAATTGTTCGTAGAGCTCAGAGACAGGATTGTGTGGAGGCACAGATCTGGGGAACGGTACCAAAAAATGTCTGCTGCATTGAAGGTCCCCAAGAACACAGTGGCCTCCATCATTCTTAAATGGAAGAAGTTTGGGACCACCAACACTCTTCCTAGAGCTGGCCACTCGGCCAAACTGAGCAATCAGAGGAGATGTTCCTCTGAGGAGCTCCAGAGCTCCTCTGTGGAGATGGGAGAACCTTCCAGAAGGACAACCATCTCTGCAGCACTCCACCAATCAGGCCTTTATGGTAGAGTGGCCAGACGGAAGCCACTCCTCAGTAAAAGGCACATGACAGCCCGCTTGAAGTTTGCCAAAAGGCACCTAAAGACTCTCAGACCATGAGAAACAAGATTATCTGGTCTGATGGAACCAAGATTGAACTCTTTGGCCTGAATGCCAAACGTCACGTCTGGAGGAAACCTGGCACCATCACTACGGTGAAGCATGGTGGTGGCAGCATCATGCTGTGGGGATGTTTTTCAGCAGCAGGGACTGGGAGACTAGTCAGGATCGAGGGAAAGATGAACGGCGCAAAGTACAGAGAGATCCTTGATGAAAACCTGCTCCAGAGCATTCAGGACCTCAGACTGGGGCAATGGTTCACTTTCCAACAGGACAATGACCCCAAGCACACATCCAAGACAACGCAGGAGTGGCTTCGGGACAAGTCTCTGAATGTCCTTGAGTGGCCCAGCCAGAGCCTGGACTTGGACCCGATCTAACATCTCTGGAGCTGAATGTATACTGTGTGTGAGAGAATGGATCTGGGATATGCTGGTTTCTTTCAGTCTGGCAGTCAGACAACAGATGTTGTTGTTTACCTGCAGACATGTGATGTTCTGATTAGCCAGTTTGACGTCCTCCGTCAGAGTCTCCCGTGACTTCTCTGCGATAGCCAGACGCTTGGCAAGGGCTCGACACTAGGGGTGGGAAGTTACAACACAGGAGATACAGAGAATAAACAAACATGCAAAATATAACATAACATATCCACAGATGATCACTTCAACTAATTGGAAGTCACAAAATGGGATGCTCGTCACTAAAACTATGTAAATATAGGCCTACATGATGTTTGGGTTTGAACTTAACTGACTCTGCTACAGTAAAGAAAGTGTGACTTTGTTAGGGAGCATCTAAGCCAGCATCTAATCACTACTTCCAGTTTCCCATCTGTCAGACACAGAGTCAAAATCAGGAGGAATCATACTGCCGTGATGCATAGCACTGAGGGTTGACATGTGGCAGTCGGTCACTACTACATACTTACTAATGCCCCATGGATATATTTAGACTTGGCTAACTATAGCATCACAACTTATTTCATGCCAATGTAGATGAATGTAACAAGGTAAAAAAAAAAATATTTAAAAAATAATTCTAGATGTAAAAAAATATATATCCAAGTGTAGTTCTGGGACTGTGAACAACAGTGCAAAAGTTGAATGATTTCCCTGTGAGCACACCCGTGTCAGTCCAGCTGGAAATAAAGGATAGAATAGAAAGAGTGGATAGAGAGAACCGAAAGAGGAAGAGAAAAAGTAGAAATTGTCTCCTCAGGGAAACAAGGTAGGACTACAGTATAGTCAACTGTTGCCATTTCCATTTCCCTTGGAACAAGACTTATAGGACTGAAGTAAGTTACCAAAATAGTAGCAGGAACATATACAGTGAGGGAAAAAAGTATTTGATCCCCTGCTGATTTTGTACGTTTGTCCACTGACAAAGACATGATCAGTCTATAATTTTAATGGTAGGTTTATTTGAACAGTGAGAGACAGAATAACAACAAAAAAAATCCAGAAAAACACATGTAAAAAATGTTAAGAAATTGATTTGCATTTTAAATGAGGGAAATAAGTATTTGACCCCTCTGCAAAACATGACTTAGTACTTGGTGGCAAAACCCTTGTTGGCAATCACAGAGGTCAGACGTTTCTTGTAGTTGGCCACCAGGTTTGCACACATCTCAGGAGGGATTTTGTTCCACTCCTCTTTGCAGATCTTCTCCAAGTCATTAAGGTTTTGAGGCTGACGTTTGGCAACTCGAACCTTCAGCTCCCTCCACAGATTTTCTATGGGATTAAGGTCTGGAGACTGGCTAGGCCACTCCAGGACCTTAATGTGCTTCTTCTTGAGCCACTCCTTTGTAGCCTTGGCCATGTGTTTTGGGTCATTGTCATGCTGGAATACCCATACACGACCCATTTTCAATGCCCTGGCTGAGGGCAAATCTTACCCAAGATTTGACGGTACATGGCCCCGTCCATTGTCCCTTTGATGCGGTGAAGTTGTCCTGTCCCCTTAGCAGAAAAACACCCCCAAACCATAATGTTTCCACCTCCATGTTTGACGGTGGGGATGGTGTTCTTGGGGTCATAGGCAGCATTCCTCCTCCTCCAAACACGGCGAGTTGAGTTGATGCCAAAGAGCTTGATTTGTCTCTCATTTGACCACAACACTTTCACCCAGTTCTCCTCTGAATCATTCAGATGTTCATTGGCAAACTTCAGACGGCCCTGTATATGTGCTTTCTTGAGCAGGGGGACCTTGCGGGCGCTGCAGGATTTCAGTCCGTCACGGCGTAGTGTGTTACCAATTGTTTTCTTGGTGACTATGGTCCCAGCTGCCTTGAGATCATTGACAAGATCCTCCCGTGTAGTTCTGGGCTGATTCCTCACCGTTCTCATGATCATTGCAACTCCACGAGGTGAGATCTTGCATGGAGCCCCAGGCCGAGGGAGATTGACAGTTCTTTTGTGTTTCTTCCATTTGCAAATAAATCGCACCACCTGTTGTCACCTTCTCACCAAGCTGCTTGGCGATGGTCTTGTAGCCCATTCCAGCCTTGTGTAGGTCTACAATCTTGTCCCTGACATCCTTGGAGAGCTCTTTGGTCTTGGCGGAGAGTTTGGAATCTGATTGATTGATTGCTTCTGTGGACAGGTGTCTTTTATACAGGTAACAAGCTGATATTAGGAGCACTCCCTTTAAGAGTGTGCTCTAATCTCAGCTCGTTACCTGTATAAAAGACACCTGGGAGCCAGAAATCTTTCTGATTGAGAGGGGGTCAAATACTTATTTCCCTCATTAAAATGCAAATCAATTTATAACATTTTTGACATGCGTTTTTCTGGATTTTTTTGTTTGTTATTCTGTCTCTCACTGTTGGGCGGCAGGTAGCTTAGTGGGTAAGAGCGTTGTGCCAGTAACCGAAAGGTCGCTGGTTCTAATCCCCGAGCCGACTAGTTGAAAAATCTGTCGATGTGCCCTTAAGCAAGGCACTTAACCCTAATTGCTCATGTAAGTCGCTCTGGATAAGAGCGTCTGCTAAATGACTAAAATGTAAAAATGTAAATAAACCTACCATTAAAATTATAGACTGATCATTTCTTTGTCAGTGGGCAAATGTACAAAATCAGCAGGGGATCAAATACTTTTTCCCCCTCACTGTACATGTACAGTGGGGAAAAACAGTATTTAGTCAGCCACCAATTGTGCATGTTCTCCCACTTAAAAAGATGAGAGAGGCCTGTAATTTTCATCATAGGTACACGTCAACTATGACAGACAAATTGAGGGAAAGAAATCCAGAAAATCACATTGTAGGATTTTTTATGAATTTATTTGCAAATTATGGTGGAAAATAAGTATTTGGTCACCTACAAAGAAGCAAGATTTCTGGCTCTCACAGACCTGTAACTTCTTCTTTAAGAGGGCTCCTCTGTCCTCCACTCGTTACCTGTATTAATGCACCTGTTTGAAACTTGTTATCAGTATAAAAGACACCTGTCCACAACCTCAAACCGTCACACTCCAAACGCCACTATGGCCAAGACCAAAGAGCTGTCAAAGGACACCAGAAAACAAAATTGTAGACCTGCACCAGGCTGGGAAGACTGAATCTGCAATAGGTAAGCAGCTTGGTTTGAAGAAATCAACTGTGGGAGCAATTATTAGGAAATGGAAGACCATCAAGACCACTGATAATCTCCCTCGATCTGGGGCTCCACGCAAGATCTCACCCTGTGGGTCAAAATGATCACAAGAACGGTGAGCAAAAATCCCAGAACCACACGGGGGGTCCTAGTGAATGACCTGCAGAGAGCTGGGACCAAAGTAACAAAGCCTACCATCAGTAACACACTACACCGCCAGGGACTCAAATCCTGCAGTGCCAGACGTGTCCCACTGCTTAAGCCAGTACATGTCCAGGCCCATCTGAAGTTTGCTAGAGTGCATTTGGATGATCCAGAAGAGGACTGAGAGAATGTCATATGGTCAGATGAAACCAAAATATAACTTTTTGGTAAAAACTCAACTCGTCGTGTTTGGAGGACAAAGAATGCTGAGTTGCATCCAAAGAACACCATACCTAATGTGAAGCATGGGGGTGGAAACATCATGCTTTGGGGCTGTTTTTCTGCAAAGGGACCAGGACGACTAATCCGTGTAAAGGAAAGAATGAATGGGGCCATGTATCGTGAGATTTTGAGTGAAAACCTCATTCCATCAGCAAGGGCATTGAAGATGAAATGTGGCTGGGTCTTTCAGCATGACAATGATCCCAAACACACCGCTCGGGCAACGAAGGAGTGGCTTCGTAAGAAGCATTTCAAGGTCCTGGAGTGGCCTAGCCAGTCTCCAGATCTCAACCCCATAGAAAATCTTTGGAGGGAGTTGAAAGTCCGTGTTGCCCAGCGACAGCCCCAAAACATCACTGCTCTAGAGGAGATCTGCATGGAGGAATGGGCCAAAATACCAGCAACAGTGTGTGAAAACCTTGTGAAGACTTACAGAAAACGTTTGACCTGTGTCATTGCCAACAAAGGGTATATAACAAAGTATTGAGAAACTTTTGTTATTGACCAAATAGTTATTTCCACCATAATTTGCAAATAAATTCATTAAAAATCCTACAATGTGATTTTCTGGATTCTTTTTTCTCATTTTGTCTATCATATTTGACGTGTACCTATGATGAAAATTACAGGCCTCTCTCATCTTTTTAAGTGGGAGAACTTGCACAATTGGTGGCTGACTAAATACTTTTTTCCCCACTGTATGTACTAGAGGAAGGAAGACGTGCGGGGAAAAGGTTGAGTGACTGTACAACTAGTTAGTTGGTCTTCTGTATAGCAGCGTCTAAATTGAGCGCACACGTGTGTGACTTTGTTCCCCATATCTCCCATGTATCCACCAACAAAATAAGAGCTACACATCCTTTTACATTCAATAGGAAATAATAGTTCTGGACGGGTTGCTATGTTTATGAATGGGAAATAGATCCAGTACATAATTTCTCTCTCACCTCAGCGTGGAAGTTAACAGCCTTGCTGTCAGAGACCTGTAGCTGTGTGGTGAGCTCTCCTACTCTGGCCATGTAGTGAGTCTTGATCAGCTGTTCTCTGGACTCCTCGTCTCCCACCTGTATACACACAGAGAGGACGACAACAACTTTACATGAAATTGCTCTTATACCGGTGTTGTAATTACACTAGTATAACTAGATTGTATTAACATGTTATTACGTAGCACTCATTCTATTCAGTGTAATTGTCCACAGTGTGATAATCTGGAGTTCATTAGTCCATCTTTTCAGGAAAAAAAAGAGACTAGCCCTGTGAAAGATGGGAAAAGGAACAAACTTTAAAGAATAGTTGGGTCAAGAAGAACGAGACAAACTTACTTCCTCGTTGGTAGGAGTTGTGGTTAACATGCCAACCTGATGAGAGAGATGGAAAACACAGAAACACAGTAACACAGTTACTCACTCCCTATGAGAATTGAGAAAGCTATAAAAATGTAACCAAGCCTGGTCCCAGATCTGTTTTTGTCGTCTTGCCAACTGCTATGGTCATTGTTGGCTATATAGCACAAATAGATCTGGGCCCAGGCTAATAAAACCCACTCCTCTCCCACTGAAATCCTATAAAACACTACAGGCCCCTAATGGTATCTGTCAAAACTGGACCTGCAAGGAATTAAATCTATAGAAGCCTGTGAATGAAGCGTTTAGCTGGTTGTTCATTACATGACAACAGTGTCGAGTTAGTGACTAGCAGGGGGTTAGCCTGGTCCCAGATCTGTTTGTGCGGTCTTGACAACCACCATAGGACAACACAAATATATCTGGGACCAGGTTAAGTGGGTGTACCCTGGGTCTGGGCAGGACAAAACAAATAGATCTGGGAAAAGGTTAAGTGGGTGTATCCTAGACCTTCTAATGAGTATGCTTTTAAAATACAGGCAGTATGAAACAAGGAAGCTGGTGCAAAGAGAGGGTGCTTCCCAATAATATCTATTTTCTCCTGAAGTGTACACTCGTTCACTACTTCCCACAAATCTAAACGCATTGAATTGGTGGAGGCATGGGCTAGAGGGAGTTTCCACCATATTCCTTATACCCATCATTTATTTTCAAATCAGTGAAGGGAAATTACCAAGTGAAAGAGCCAAAGGAGAGATAATCGGAACTTAGCCAGACACTGATAACACAACCCCTTCACTGAAGCCATACACATGTTATGGCTTCTCCCACTAGGACGTGTCTGACTCATTTCGTGGGAAAGGGGAGGGTTGCAAAGGGAGGAATGATGTCCCTAGATTTTCATCTCATATCATGCCAGTCTCAGCAGACAACTGCAAAGTAGTCTTTTTAAGCATGAGGATGAAGACCAATTCAAATCACTATTGAAGAAAAATAAGGTCGCAAACTTCCGGAAAGTTTCCCAAAGTTACCAGTTTTACTGAAATCAATTTAGAAGGATTCTTGCAACCGTAAAGAAAAACAAAAGAGTGAAGATGCATCTACCAGACTGGTGCTTAGCATAGCCTCCTTCCCTGCTCCTCTCTCCTCCACCTCTCCGTCCTCCAGGCTGGTGAGGGCTGGGCAGCCTCCTCCTCCCAGGGCAGAGGAGAGCTGTCTCTCCAGGTCCTGGATGCGCTGGCTCTCCTTCTCCAGCCTCACCCTGCCCAGCTGGGCCTCCAGCAACCAGTGCTCTTTCTCCTGCTCCAGACGAGCAATCTTCTCCTGGCTCGCAACCACCTGGGGTGATAGAGGAACAGACACAGAGGGAAATGGAGAGGTGGAGGAGAGGACACGTGAGGAAAGAAGAGGCGGAGAGGAGAGAGACCGAGGGGCGAGGAGAGTTGGTAAGAGGACTTCTATATAACACTTATCTAGTCAGTAACCAAATGAGTTACCTTGAGCATAATGAAGAGTTTCACAGAAGCATAGGGCCTGTGTCCTGAGAGGAGCATGGAAGTACAATCAATACCTGTTGTGTGAGTCCCTCTCTGCTCTCTGTAGAGCTAGTTAGAACACGGCGATTCAACAGGGCCTCTCTGTATGGAACGGACTCTGGTCTGGGCTGGATAAACAACAGACAGGACAGGACAGTCAAATACACACTGTTATACTGAACCACAACATCGTTGTTAAGGTGATGTTCCACTGTTTGCTTTAGGCTGCTTGGATTGGAGTGCCAGATGGGGCGGGATTTACACTTTTGGGACTATTCTATTGGTTCCATTTTGCTAGGCAAGCTTAATCGAACACAGCTGAATGACATTCAAATAGTATTTGAATCCAGGTCTGTGAAGGTGACATGACCAGCGAAGCGAGGGAAAGCTACTGACCTTTCTGATGGCATGCATGTAGTCGGAGGCCTTCTTCTTGTTACCCAGCATGCTCTCTGCCTGCAGGGGGTTGAGGGCCCCGGCCCCCCCTCTCGGACTGTAGCCTGTCGAAGACGTGAAGAAATCCAGGTTGTTGCTGAAGAACGTCGCAATCTGTTGAAAAATGTACAGAATCAATATTATGGTAAGACTTTACATCATCCAGGTATAGGCACTAATTCTTTATAATTTGTTGTAAGCATGTTTAAGCCTTTATAATGTCTTCTTATAAACAGTATTGGTGAGCCATATACATGGTCTTCTAGGCCTATACAGTGCATTCGGAAAGTATTCAGACCTCTTCCCTTTTTCCACATTGTCACATTACACACAAACATTTTATTCCCCTCATCAATCTACACACAATACCCCATAATGACAAAGCAAAAACAGATGTAGAAAATGTTGCAAATGTCTTACAAATAAAAAACTGAAATACCTTATTTACATAAGTATTCAGACCCTTTGCTATGAGACTCGAAATTGAGCTGAGGTGCATCCTGTTTCCATTGATCATCCTTGATGTTTCTACAACTTTATTGGAGTCCACCTGTGGTAAATTCAATTGATTGGACATGATTTGGAAAGGCACACACCTATCTATATAAGGTCCCACAGTTGACAGTGCATGTCAGAGCAAAAACCAAGCCATGAGGTCGAAGGAATTGTCTGTAGACCTCCGAGACAGGTTCGTCTCAAGGCACAGATCTGGGGAAGGGTTCCAAAACATTTCTGCAGCATTGAAGGTCCAAGAACACAGTGGCCTCCATCATTCTTAAATGGAAGAAGTTTGGAACCACCAAGACTCTTTCTAGAGCTGGCCACCCGGCCAAACTGAGCAATCGGGGGAGAAGGGCCTTGGTCAGGGAGGTGACCAAAAACCCAATGGTCACTGACAGCTCCAGAGTTCCTCTGTGGAGATGGGAGAAACTTCCAGAAGGACAACCATCTCTGCAGCACTCCACTAATCAGACCTTTATGGTAGAGTGGCCAGACGGCAGTCACTCCTCAGTAAAAGGGACATGACAGCCCACTTGAAGTTTGCCAAAAGGCACCTAAAGGACTCTCAGACCATGAGAAACAAGATTCTCTGGTCTAATGAAACCAAGATTGAACTCTTAGCGTCACGTCTGGAAGAAGCCTGGCACCAACCCTACGGTGAAGCATGGTGGTGGCAGTGTCATGCTGTGGGGATGTTTTTCAGTGGCAGGTACTGGGGGACTAGTCAGGATTGAGGGAACAATGAACGGAGCAAAATACAGAGAAATCCTTGATGAAAACCTGCTCCTGAGCGCTCAGGACCTCATACCTGGGCGAAGGTTCACCTTCCAACAGAACAACAACCCTAAGCACACAGCCAAGACAACACAGGAGTGGCTTCTGGACAAGTCTCTGAATGTCCTTGAGTGGCCCAGCCAGAGCCCAGACTTGAACCCGATCAAACATCTTTGGAGAGACCTGAAAATAGCTGTGCAGCGACGCTCCCCATCCAACCTGACAGAGTTTTAGAGGATCTGCAAATAAGAATGGGAGAAACTCCCGAAATACATGTGTGCCAAGCTTGTAGCATCATACCAAAGAAGACTTGATGCTGTAATCGCTGCCAAAGGTGCTTCAACAAAGTACAGAGTAAAGAGTCTGAATACTTAGGTAAATGTGATGTCAGTTTATTTAATAAATGTGCAAACATTTCTAAAAACCTGTTTTTGCTTTGTCATTATGGGGTATTGTGTGTAGATTGACGAGGGAAAAAAAACGATTTAATCAATTTTAGAATAAGGCTGTAACGTAACAAAAAGTGGAAAAAGTAAAGGGGTCTGAATACCTTCCGAATGCACTGTATGTTGTAGTCCAGACCGCCATTTGAATATCACTGTACAACAATGTCATAGAATATACGTTTTCAATCTATCAATGTTGTATACGCTTAAATATGAGGGTGAAACAGGTGCACTTAAATACAAAAACTAATGTGAAAGGAGTTTATAAAATAATTTGAGTCATGATAACTTCACTATACTACACACTTCAACAACCCCATAACACCAAGTCAAACTTTCCTAAACACACTTATCCTACAGAACTACGTCACTGTTCCTTTAAGGAGGTCAGTGGGTGAAGTCAAGGATGAGTTGACAGAATACAGACACAGATTTCTAATACACACTCCCACTACTACTTTTAATTATATGAAGAGTGCCTTGGTCCTCCTTGTTTAGTTTTTTTACACTCCCATTACTGTCAACCCAGTTTCTTTCTCAATTAATGGGAGAGTTAGTTTTACATGGCCAGGTGCCCTGGATGGGTGGGGTTTGCACATTTTAGACCTATCCATTGTTCCTGAAGTGAAATCTCCCCCCACCTGGGGCACCGGGCCATTCAAAACAACTCGCCCATTCTTTCATCGTCTCCCCCCCATCCTATCTCCTTGCCTCCTTTTCAAAATACATTGGAGAAGAAGGACCATGGGGAGGGACCTTGAGAAAGACGAATTGAGCCCCGGTCTCAGATCACCTCATGGTAAACATCCTTCTTACAGAACTCTGGAACACAGACGTGGAACTCTGGAACTCTGCAACCAGCCAGCCCAGAGCATTCCATCCCTGTTCCTCCACAACAACACAAAACAGCAGTCCCATCTCTCATACCTCAAACAAACAGTCGGTCTGTGTCTGGTGCATTCATCAGCCAGGCAACAGTAGAGACTATATAACTATAATACCAAAAAAGAACAGTATCGTTATTACAGTAAAATTTCTCTACCTCCTCTACATACCATCAGTTGGTAAGGTCGTGGCTTCAATTCCCGCAGGGTTCTCATACGTATAGTACAAACGTATGCACTCACTGTACTCTGTTTCAAAGCCCCCCCATCCCTTTTATCTGGGATACACAGCTGTAGATGCTATGATATGGTGCGGATCTGTGAAAATAGCCCTTCTGCCCCAACTAAACCCTCCCTTCTTATTAGTGGTCATGTATTGTAAATGACCAATCTGCACGGTCGATGAGCCACATACCAAGGCAGTTGCTACTGCTGCTTAAACTCATATGTAAACAAAACAGCAACAAAAAATAAAAAAAATAAGGACCACAATGGAAATTAGTCTGTCATTGTGCATTCCCGGTCACGGTTTTTGGATTTTTATGTACATTACCGGTCAAAAGTTTTAGAACACACTCATTCAAGGCTTTTTCTTTATTTTTACTATTTTCTACCTTGTAGAATAATAGTGAAGACATCAAAACTATGAAATAACACATATGGAATCATGTAGTAAACAAAAGTGTTAAACAAATCAAAATATATTTTATATTTGAGATTCTTCAAATAGCCACCCTTTGCCTTGATGACAGCTTTGCACACTCTTGGCATTCTCTCAACCAGCTTCACCTGGAATGCTTTTCCAACAGTCTTGAAGGAGTTCCCACATATGCTGAGCACTTGTTGGCTGCTTTTCCTTCACTCTGCCGTCCGACTCATCCCAAACCATCTCAATTGGGTTGAGGTCGTGGGATTGTGGAGGCCAGGTCATCTGATGCAGCACTCCATCACTCTTCTTCTTGGTAAAACAGCCCTTACACAGCCTGGAGGTGTGTTGGGTCATTGTCCTGTTGAAAAACAAATGATAGTCCCACTAAGCCCAAACCAGATGGTATGGCATATTGCTGCAGAATGCTGTGGTAGCCATGCTGGTTAAGTGTGCCTTGAATTCTAAATAAATCACAGACAGTGTCACCAGCAAAGCACCCCCACACCATAACACCTCCTCCTCCATGCTTTACGGTGGGAAATACACATGCAGAGATCATCCGTTCACCCACACCACGTCTCACAAAGCCACGGCGGTTGGAACCAAAAATGTCAAATTTGGACTTCAGACCAAAGGACAAATGTCCACCAGTCTAATGTCCATTGCTCGTGTTTCTTGGCCCAAGCAAGTCTCTTCTTCTTATTGGTGTCCTTTAGTAGTTGTTTCTTTGCAGCAATTTGACCATGAAGGCATGATTCACGCAGTCTCCTCAGAACAGTTGATGTTGAGATGTGTCTGTGACTTGAACTCTGTGAAGCATTTATTTGGGCTGCAATTTCTGAGGCTGGTAACTCTAATGAACTTATCCTCTGCAGCAGAGGTAACTCTGGGTCTTCCATTCCTGTGGCGGTCCTCATGCGAGCCAGTTTCATCATAGCGCTTGATGGTTTTTGCAACTGCACTTGAAGAAACTTTCAAAGTTCTTGAAATGTTCTGCATTGACTGACCTTCATGTCTTAAAGTAATGATGGACTGTTGTTTCTCTTTGCGTATCTGAGCTGTTCTTGCCATAATATGGACTTGGTCTTTTACCAAATAGGGCTATCTTCTGTATACGCCCCCCCCCCCACCACCACCACCTTGTCACAACACAACTAACTGGCATAAACGCATAAAGAAGGAAAGAAATTACACAAATTAACTTTTAAAAAGCACACCTGTTAATTGAAATGCATTCCAGGTGACTACCTCATGAAGCTGGTTGAGAGAATGCCAAGAGTGTGCAAAGCTGTCATATCAAGGCAAAGGGTGGCTACTTTGAAGAATCTCAAAAGATAAAATATATTTTGATTTGTTTAACACTTTTTTGGTTACTACATGATTCCATATGTGTTATATAATAGTTTTGATGTCTTCACTATTATTCTACAATGTAGGAAATAGTAAAAATAAAGAAAAACCCTTGAATGAGTAGGTGTGTCCAAACCTTTGACTGGTACTGTACAGTGGGGAAAAAAAGTATTTAGTCAGCCTCCAATTGTGCAAGTTCTCCCACTTAAAGATGAGAGAGGCCTGTCATTTTCATCATAGGTACACGAAAGAAATTCCAGAAAATCACATTGTAGGATTTTTTATGAATTTATTTGCAAATTATGGTGGAAAATAAGTATTTGGTCACCTACAAACAAGCAAGATTTCTGGCTCTCACAGACCTGTAACTTCTTCATTAAGAGGCTCCTCTGTCCTCCACTCGTTACCTGTATTAATGGCACCTGTTTGAACTTGTTATCAGTATAAAAAGACACCTGTCCACAACCTCAAACAGTCACACTCCAAACTCCACTATGGCCAAGACCAAAGAGCTGTCAATGGACACCAGAAACAAAATTGTAGACCTGCACCAGGCTGGGAAGACTGAATCTGCAATAGGTAAGCAGCTTGGTTTGAAGAAATCAACTGTGGGAGCAATTATTAGGAAATGGAAGACATACAAGACCACGGTGAGCAAAAATCCCAGAACCACACGGGGGGACCTAGTGAATGACCTGCAGAGAGCTGGGACCAAAGTAACAAAGCCTACCATCAGTAACACACTACGCCGCCAGGGACTCAAATCCTGCAGTGCCAGACGTGTTCCCCTGCTTAAGCCAGTACATGTCCAGGCCCGTCTGAAGTTTGCTAGAGTGCATTTGGATGATCCAGAAGAGGATTGGGAGAATGTCATATGGTCAGATAAAAACTCAACTCGTCGTGTTTGGAGGACAAAGAATGCTGAGTTGCATCCAAAGAACACCATACCTACTCTGAAGCATGGGGGTGGAAACATCATGCTTTGGGGCTGTTTTTCTGCAAAGGGACCAGGACGACTGATCCGTGTAAAGGAAAGAATGAATGGGGCCATGTATCGTGAGATTTTGAGTGAAAACCTCCTTCCATCAGCAAGGGCATTGAAGATGAAACGTGGCTGGGTCTTTCAGCATGACAATGATCCCAAACACACCGCCCGGGTAACGAAGGAGTGGCTTCGTAAGAAGCATTTCAAGGTCCTGGAGTGGCCTAGCCAGTCTCCAGATCTCAACCCCATATAAAATCTTTGGAGGGAGTTGAAAGTCCGTGTTGCCCAGCGACAGCCCCAAAACATCTAGAGGAGATCTGTATGGAGGAATGGGCCAAAATACCAGCAACAGTGTGTGAAAACCTTGTGAAGACTTACAGAAAACGTTTGACCTGTGTCATTGCCAACAAAGGGTATATAACAACGTATTGAGAAACTTTTGATATTGACCAAATACTTATTTTCCACCATAATTTGCAAATAAATTCATTAAAAATCCTACAATGTGATTTTCTGGATTTTTTTTTCTCATTTTGTCTGTCATAGTTGACGTGTACCTATGATGAAAATTACAGGCCTCTCTCATCTTTTTAAGTGGGAGAACTTGCACAATTGGTGGCTGACTAAATACTTTTTTTCCCCACTGTATGTCTTAAAAATAAAAAACAACAGTCAGACAAATAAAATCAATCAATATTTTTTCATGTTACCCAACCAATTAAACTGTGCTAATGTGAGAATGCCAACCAAAAACAACACCGGCTGTCAGTGTGCTTGTTTACTGAGGCCAGTTGTCTTGATTTAGACACAGATGGTGTGGTAATAGATGTGGCCAGGAACTGCCAGGGACCTCACGATACGATATTATCACCATACTTAGGTGCCGATATGATATGTATTGCGATTCTCACGATTCTATATGTATTACGATTGGATACTGCGATTTGATGTTCCAAACATATTGCTCATTATACGTCTGCTGCAGCGAGACAAGAGAACGCATGAGAACATTTGTTTTGATCAGTCATGGAAATAAGTGCTGAAAACATGTTGGCTCAGAATTTAAAAAGAAGATGGCGAACAAGCTATAGGATTGGAGAAAAAAACTTTTGCCGCAGGTACAGCCGACTAGTGCTAGCTAAAGCTACTTTTTTTCTTCTTCAGCGAATCGATATAATATCCAAAAATAATATTGTGATATGTAACTGTATCTATTTTTTTCTCCCATCACTAATACATACCCAGTGTTCATATAGCGGTAAATGGTCCTACCTTGCCGGTGCTGCTGGTGAGAGAGCCCAGGGAAGCCAGCAGACACTCGTTAGTAGTGCGGAGCTTCTGAGTGATTGTAGACAACTCCTGTTCCAGACTGGCCTTCTGGCTGTAATGCGTAGACATCTCTGTAGAGACACATAGAGAGGGACTTAGCTTATACATACAAAATACATCTCTACACACACACAGAGATAGACAGGAAGGAGACCAACAGTTAAAAGGATGGTACAGGGGGCTTACACTGTTATTGGTTCCATTTTACTTGAAGCCTGCAGGTATATTGCTATATAACAGTTAAGCTTAGACATCTCTACAGAACACAGAGGAAGGACAGAGTGGCTTGAACATTAGTCTACAAAAACAGACAAAATAACTTTTTCCTAGTAAAAAAAGGTTTCACCTTTGACCGCGTCGTGAAGGCTGTGTAGACAGGCAGCCAGCTGGGTGAAGACAGCAGAGGAACTGCTCTGGGGCATGGAGTCCTGTCGAACACCTGGAAAACAATTGCACACTTGATTTTCCTCCAGTCCCACACTACTCACTAGTAAGGCCAGTAGGCTGATATACACGGAGTGTGCAAAACATTGCTCTTTCCATGACAGACTGACCAGGTGAATCCAGGTGAAAGCTATGATCCCTTATTGATGTCACTTGTTCAATCCACTTCGAATCAGTGTAGATGGGGAGGACACCAGTTAAAGAAGGATTTTTAAGGCTTGAGACATGGATTGTGTATGTGTGCCATTTAGAGTGTGAATGGGCAAAACAAAATATTTAAGTGCCTTTGAAAGGGGTATGGTAGTAGGTGCCAGGCGCACCGGTTTGAGTGTGGTAGGGTTAGAAAGTAAAAGGCAAATATATATTTTTTAAAGGATGTGTGTATGCATGTGTATATGTATATACAGTTGAAGTCGGAAGTTTACATACACTTAGGTTGGAGTCATTAAAACTTGTTTTTCAACCACTCGTGGATGGGTATTCCAGCATGACAATGACCCAAAACACACGGCCAAGGCAACAAAGAAGTGGCTCAAGAAGAAGCACATTAAGGTCCTGGAGTGGCCTAGCCAGTCTCCAGACCTTAATCCCATAGAGAATCTGTGGAGGGAGCTGAAGGTTCGAGTTGCCAAACGTCAGCCTCGAAACCTTAATGACTTGGAGAAGATCTGCAAAGAGGAGTGGGACAAAATCCCTCCTGAGATGTGTGCAAACCTGGTGGCCAACTACAAGAAACGTCTGACCTCGGTGATTGCCAAATAGGGTTTTTCCACCAAGTACTAAGTCATGTTTTGCAGAGGGGTCAAATACTTATTTCCCTCATTAAAATGCAAATCAATTTATAACATTTTTGACATGCGTTTTTCTGGATTTTTGTTGTTGTTATTCTGTCTCTCACTGTTCAAATAAACCTACCATTAAAATTAGATCATTTCTTAGTCAGTGGGCAAACGTACAAAATCTGCAAGGGATCAAATACTTTTTTCCCCTCACTATATATATATATATATACACACATACAGTGGGGAAAAAAAGTATTTAGTCAGCCACCAATTGTGCAAGTTCTCCCACTTAAAAAGATGAGAGAGGCCTGTAATTTTCATCATAGGTACACGTCAACTATGACAGACAAAATGAGAAAATCACATTGTAGGATTTTTTTATGAATTTATTTGCAAATTATGGTGGAAAATAAGTATTTGGTCAATAACAAAAGTTTCTCAATACTTTGTTATATACCCTTTGTTGGCAATGACACAGGTCAAACGTTTTCTGTAAGTCTTCACAAGGTTTTCACACACTGTTGCTGGTATTTTGGCCCATTCCTCCATGCAGATCTCCTCTAGAGCAGTGATGTTTTGGGGCTGTCGCTGGGCAACACGGACTTTCAACTCCCTCCAAAGATTTTCTATGGGGTTGAGATCTGGAGACTGGCTAGGCCACTCCAGGACCTTGAAATGCTTCTTACGAAGTCACTCCTTCGTTGCCCGGGCGGTGTGTTTGGGATCATTGTCATGCTGAAAGACCCAGCCACGTTTCATCTTCAATGCCCTTGCTGATGGAAGGAGGTTTTCACTCAAAATCTCACGATACATGGCCCCATTCATTCTTTCCTTTACACGGATCAGTCGTCCTGGTCCCTTTGCAGAAAAACAGCCCCAAAGCATGATGTTTCCAACCCCATGCTTCAGAGTAGGTATGGTGTTCTTTGGATGCAACTCAGCATTCTTTGTCCTCCAAACACGACGAGTTGAGTTTTTACAAAAAAATTCTATTTTGGTTTCATCTGACCATATGACATTCTCCCAATCCTCTTCTGGATCATCCAAATGCACTCTAGCAAACTTCAGACGGGCCTGGACATGTACTGGCTTAAGCAGGGGGACACGTCTGGCACTGCAGGATTTGAGTCCCTGGCGGCGTATTGTGTTGTGTTACTGATGGTAGGCTTTGTTACTTTGGTCCCAGCTCTCTGCAGGTCATTCACTAGGTCCCCCCGTGTGGTTCTGGGATTTTTGCTCACCGTTCTTGTGATCATTTTGACCCCACGGGGTGAGATCTTGCGTGGAGCCCCAGATCGAGGGAGATTATCAGTGGTCTTGTATGTCTTCCATTTCCTAATAATTGCTCCCACAGTTGATTTCTTCAAACCAAGCTGCTTACCTATTGCAGATTCAGTCTTCCCAGCCTGGTGCAAGGTCTACAATTTTGTTTCTGGTGTCCTTTGACAGCTCTTTGGTCTTGGCCATAGTGGAGTTTGGAGTGTGACTGTTTGAGGTTGTGGACAGGTGTCTTTTTATACTGATAACAAGTTCAAACAGGTGCCATTAATACAGGTAACGAGTGGAAGACAGAGGAGCCTCTTAAAGAAGAAGTTACAGGTCTGTGAGAGCCAGAAATCTTGCTTGTTTGTAGGTGACCAAATACTTATTTTCCACCATAATTTGCAAATAAATTCATTAAAAATCCTACAATGTGATTTTCTGGATTTTTTTTCCTCAATTTGTCTGTCATAGTTGACGTGTACCTATGATGAAAATTACAGGCCTCTCATCTTTTTAAGTGGGAGAACTTGCACAATTGGTGGCTGACTAAATACTTTTTTTCCCCACTGTGTGTGTGTGTGTGTGTGTGTGTGTGTGTGTGTGTGTGTGTGTGTGTGTGTGTGTGTGTGTGTGTGTGTGTATATATATATATATACACACACACACACACATACAGTGGGGAGAACAAGTATTTGATACACTGCCGATTTTGCAGGTTTTCCTACTTACAAAGCATGTAGAGGTCTGTAATTTTTATCATAGGTACACTTCAACTGTGAGAGACGGAATCTAAAACAAAAATCAAGAAAATCACATTGTATGATTTTTAAGTAATTCATTTGCATTTTATTGCATGACATAAGTATTTGATCACCTACCAACCAGTAACAATTCCGGCTCTCACAGACCTGTTAGTTTTTCTTTAAGAAGCCCTCCTGTTCTCCACTCATTACCTGTAATAACTGCACCTGTTTGAACTCGTTACCTGTATAAATGACACCTGTCCACACACTCAATCAAACAGACTCCAACCTCTCCACAATGGCCAAGACCAGAGAGCTGTGTAAGGACATCAGGGATAAAATTGTAGACCTGCACAAGGCTGGGATGGGCTACAGGACAATAGGCAAGCAGCTTGGTGAGAAGTCAACAACTGTTGGTGCAATTATTAGAAAATGGAAGAAGTTCAAGATGACGGTCAATCACCCTCGGTCTGGGGCTCCATGCAAGATCTCACCTCGTGGGGCATCAATGATCATGAGGAAGGTGAGGGATCAGCCCAGACCTACACGGCAGGACCTGGTCAATGACCTGAAGAGAGCTGGGACCACAGTCTCAAAGAAAACCATTAGTAACACACTACGCCGTCATGGATTAAAATCCTGCAGCGCACGCAAGGTCCCCCTGCTCAAGCCAGCGCATGTCCAGGCCCGTCTGAAGTTTGCCAATGACCATCTGGATGATCCAGAGGAGGAATGGGAGAAGGTCATGTGGTCTGATGAGACAAAAATAGAGCTTTTTGGTCTAAACTCCACTCGCCGTGTTTGGAGGAAGAAGAAGGATGAGTACAACCCCAAGAACACCATCCCAACCGTGAAGCATGGAGGTGGAAACATCATTCTTTGGGGATGCTTTTCTGCAAAGGGGACAGGACGACTGCACCGTATTGAGGGGAGGATGGATGGGACCATGTATCGCGAGATCTTGCCAACAACCTCCTTCCCTCAGTAAGAGCATTGAAGATGGGTCGTGGCTGGGTCTTCCAGCATGACAACGACCCGAAACACACAGCCAGGGCAACTAAGGAGTGGCTCCGTAAGAAGCATCTCAAGGTCCTGGAGTGGCCTAGCCAGTCTCCAGACCTGAACCCAATAGAAAATCTTTGGAGGGAGCTGAAAGTCCGTATTGCCCAGCGACAGCCCCGAAACCTGAAGGATCTGGAGAAGGTCTGTATGGAGGAGTGGGCCAAAATCCCTGCTGCAGTGTGTGCAAACCTGGTCAAGACCTACAGGAAACGTATGATCTCTGTAATTGCAAACAAAGGTTTCTGTACCAAATATTAAGTTCTGCTTTTCTGATGTATCAAATACTTATGTCATGCAATAAAATGCAAATGAATTACTTAAAAATCATACAATGTGATTTTCTGGATTTTTCTGGACTTTCAGCTCCCTCCAAAGATGTTCTATTGGGTTCAGGTCTGGAGACTGGCTAGGCCACTCCAGGACCTTGAGATGCTTCTTACGGAGCCACTCCTTAGTTGCCCTGGCTGTGTGTTTTGGGTCGTTGTCATGCTGGAAGACCCAGCCACGACCCATCTTCAATGCTCTTACTGAGGGAAAGAGATTGTTGGCCAAGATCTCGCGATACATGGCCCCATCCATCCTCCCCTCAATACGGTGCAGTCGTCCTGTCCCCTTTGCAGAAAAGCATCCCCAAAGAATGATGTTTCCACCTCCATGCTTCACAGTTGGGATGGTGTTCTTGGGGTTGTACTCATCCTTCTTCTTCCTCCAAACACGGCGAGTGGAGTTTAGACCAAAAAGCTCTATTTTTGTCTCATCAGACCACATGACCTTCTCCCATTCCTCCTCTGGATCATCCAGATGGTCATTGGCAAACTTCAGACGGGCCTGGACATGCGCTGGCTTGAGCAGGGGGACTTTGCGTGCGCTGCAGGATTTTAATCCATGACGGCGTAGTGTGTTACTAATGGTTTTCTTTGAGACTGTGGTCCCAGCTCTCTTCAGGTCATTGACCAGGTCCTGCCGTGTAGGTCTGGGCTGATCCCTCACCATGATCATTGATGCCCCACGAGGTGAGATCTTGCATGGAGCCCCAGACCGAGGGTGATTGACCGTCATCTTGAACTTCTTCCATTTTCTAATAATTGCGCCAACAGTTGTTGACTTCTCACCAAGCTGCTTGCCTATTGTCCTGTAGCACATACCAGCCTTGTGCAGGTCTACAATTTTATCCCTGATGTCCTTACGCAGCTCTCTGGTCTTGGCCATTGTGGAGAGGTTGGAGTCTGTTTGATTGAGTGTGTGGACAGGTGTCATTTATACAGGTAACGAGTTCAAACAGGTGCAGTTATTACAGGTAATGAGTGGAGAACAGGAGGGCTTCTTAAAGAAAAACTAACATGTCTGTGAGAGCCGGAATTGTTACTGGTTGGTAGGTGATCAAATACTTATGTCATGCAATAAAATGCAAATTAATTACTTAAAAATCATACAATGTGATTTTCTGGATTTTTGTTTTAGATTCCGTCTCTCACAGTTGAAGTGTACCTATGATAAAAATTACAGACCTCTACATGCTTTGTAAGTAGGAAAACCTGCAAAATCGGCAGTGTATCAAATACTTGTTCTCCCCACTGTATATATATATTTTTTTTTTTTTTTACATTCGGAAAGAAATAGCACCCCTTATATGCACTGCCATTAATACCGTATACCCTGGTATGGTACTGGAATGGTATGAAGGTATGGAAATCTGGATACCACCCAACCCTAACACCCTCCATACAAAAAAAATCCCCACTTGGTCTGCTTCACGCTTTATTCTCAAGCGGACTGACTTTGGCGTGGAGTCAGCTCTCTGTGTTAACTCACTAGGTAAGGCCAGTAGGCTGATGTAGCTGTGTAGTTTGTCGAACACAGAGGTGATTCTCTTCATGTCACTCTGCAGCTCCTGGTTCTTAGAGGTGAGAGAGGAGGTACACAGCGGAGTCCCGCACTCTTCCTCCAGACTGGTGAAGAGAAGAGAGGAGGAGAGGGTGACACACACAGGCTGCGTTTCCACAGGCAGCCCAATTCTAATATTTTTTCCACTAATTTTTGACCAATTATCTGATAGGTCAAAGACCAATTAGTGGAAAAAATTGCAGAATTGGGCTGCCTGTGTAAACGCAGCCATAGACACACACACGCTCTTAGAGGTGAGGGCTGAGGTACAGAGAGCGGCCGCACTCCTCCTCCAGGTTGGGAAGGAGAATAATAATAATAATAATAATAATAATAATAATAATAAGCCATTTAGCAGACGCTTTTATCCAAAGCGACTTACAGTCGTGCGTGCATACATTTTTGTGTATGGGTGGTCCCGGGGATCGAACCCACTACCTTGGCGTTACAAGCGCCGTGCTCTACCAGCTGAGCTACAGAGGACCACAAGAAGAAGAAGAGGGGGATACGGGGGAACGCATGTGTACAGTACACACCTAATGTAATGAGTACTGACCTTTTGAGCTGGTATGGTAGAATCTTCTGCAGAAAGTGGGTGTAGGAGGTGAAGTGATCGGCAAAGTTCTTGAGTTTCCCCACAGTCTCTAGCACTGTTACTGTGTCCTCTGTGATGCTCTGGTGTAGTTGCACTAGTCCTTCCTCCAGGGGGCGCACATAGGCTGCATTCTCATGTAGATACTGGGAGAACTGGGGAGAAGATGGCAGTTGAGAGTTCATCTTACCTACTTCAGCCAAAAGCACTTATTGTAAGTCACTATGGATAAGAGGAGGGGTGTCAAACTCATTCCACGGAGGGCCGAGTGTCTGCAGGTTTTTGGTTTTCCTTTCAATTAAGCCCTAGACAACCAGAGGCGAGTTCCTTACTAATTATAAAATCAAACTTTATTTGTCACATGCGCCGAATACAACAGGTGTAGACCTTACCGTGAAATGCTTACTTACAAGCCCTTAACCAACAATGCAGTTCAAGAAATAGAGTTAGTAAATCTTTTCTTAAATAAACTAAAGTAAAAAATAAAATAAAAAGTAACACAATAAAATAACAATACCGAGGCTATATACCGGGGGTACCGGTACCGAGTCAATGTGCGGGGGTACCGGTTAGTCGAGATAATTTGTACATGTAGGTAGGGGTAAAGTGACTGCATAAATAATAAACAGCAAGGGGGGTGTCAATGTAAATAGTCCAGGTGGCCATTTGATTAAATATTTCAGCACTCTTATGGCTTGGGGGTAGAAGCTATTAAGGAGTCTTTTGGACCTAGACTTGGCGCTCCGGTACCGCTTGCCATGCGGTAGCAGAGAGAACAGTCTATGACTTGGGTGACTGGAGTCTGACACATTTCTTTGCCTTTCTCTGACACCGCCTAGTATATTGAACTAATTAGTGACCTTAATTCATCAATCAAGTACAAGGGAGGAGCGAAAACCTACAGACACTCGGCCCTCCGTGGAATGAGTTTGACACGTGTGGATAAGAACATCTGCTAAATGACTAAAACAGGATGGCAGGGCATAGACTGTGTGTCCCTGTATTTCCTGACCTTCTGGTTGAGTGGTGAGATGGGTTCGATAGAGGAATCCAGGGGGTAGATGTGTACCCTCTGCTCTGTGTAGGAGTGGAAGTTTAACAGAGCAGCCACTAGGTCCTGGACGAAGCCTAAGGCCTGACCAGCCACGTCTCGGGCCTTCAACTGGAGGAGAGGAGCGGGAGAGAGGGAGGAGACTTGTACCAAAACTCTGGACCACATACCTACCCTGACAACGGAGGATTGAGCCCTGACTGTTGTATAAAATACAGGATCATGCTATAGGGCAGGGTTTCCCAACTAGTAGCCTGTGATTTTATTTGGCCACCCAAGTTCTGAGCAAAAACATTTTGGGACATAAAATACTAAAAACACCTGCAAATCAGCTCCAAGTGATTTTAATTTGGGAAATATGTTCCAAAGTATTCCTACACACAATAGAGAGATATGTGGTCAGAGACTGAAACTAACTTTTTGGTCCACCAGCCACTGTGGCAGGTAGATTATTTTTATTTGATTTTTTTACAAAACAATAAAATATATACAGTACCAGTCAAAAGTTTGGACACACCTACTCATTCAAGGGTTTTTATTTATTTTTACTAATTTCTACATTGTAGAATAATAGTGAAGACATCAAAACTATGAAATAACACATGGAATCATGTAGTAACCATAAAAGTGTTAAACAAATCAAAATATAGATTCTTCAAATAGCCACCCTTTGCCTTGATGACAGCTTTGCACACTTGGCATTCTCTCAACCAGCTTCATGAGGTAGTCACCTGGAATACAATTCAATTAACAGGTGTGCCTTCTTAAAAGTTAATTTGTGGAATTTCTTTCCTTCTTAATGCGTTTGAGCCAATCAGTTGTGTTGTGACAAGGTAGGGGAGGGTATACAGAAGATAGCCCTATTTGGTAAAAGACCAAGAACATATTATGGCAAGAACAGCTCAAATAAGCAAAGAGAAACGACAGTCCATCATTACTTTAAGACAGGAAGGTCAGAAAATACGGAACATTTCAAGAACTTTGAAAGTTTCTTCAAGTGCAGTCGCAAAAATCATCAAACGCTATGATGAAACTGGCTCTCATGAGGACCGCGACAGGAATGGAAGACCCAGAGTTAACTCTGCTGCAGAGGATAAGTTACCAGCCTCAGAAATTGCAGCCCAAATAAATGCTTCAGAGTTGAAGTAACAGACATCTCAACATCAACTGTTCAGAGGGGACTGTGTGAATCAGGCCTTCATGGTCGAATTGCTGCAAAGAAACAACTACTAAAGGACACCAATAAGAAGAGACCTGCTTGGGCCAAGAAACACGAGCAATGGAATTTGACCGGTGGAAATTTGTCCTTTGATCTGGAGTCCAAATTTGAGATTTTTGGTTCCAACCTCCGTGTCTTTGTGAGACGCGGGCTGGGTGAACGGATGATCTCTGCATGTGTATTTCCCACCGTAAAGCATGGAGGAGGAGGAGGTGTTATGGTGTGGGGGGTGCTTTGCTGGTGACACTGTCTGTGGTTTATTTAGAATTCAAGGCACACTTAACCAGCATGGCTACCACAGCATTCTACAGCAATACACCATCCCATCTGGTTTGGGTTTAGTGGGACTACCATTTGTTTTTCAACAAGACAATGACCCAACACACCTCCAGGCTGTGTAAGGGCTATTTTACCAAGAAGGAGAGTGATGGAGTGCTGCATCAGATGACCTGGCCTCCACAATCCCCAAACCTCAACCCAATGGAGATGGTTTGGGATGAGTCGAACCGCAGAATGAAGGAAAAGCAGCCAACAAGTGCTCAGCATATGTGGGAACTCCTTCAAGACTGTTGGAAAAGCATTCCAGGTGAAGCTGGTTGAGAGAATGCCAAGAGTGTGCAAAGCTGTCATCAAGGCAAAGGGTGGCTATTTGAACATTCTCAAATATACTTGATTTGTTTAACACTTTGTTTACTACATGATTCCATGTTTTATTTCATTGTTGTGAGGTCTTCACTATTATTCTACAATGTAAAAAATAGTAAAAATAAAGAAAAACCCTTGAATGAGTAGGTGTCCCCAAACTTTTGACTGGTAGTGTGTATATATACAGTTTGGAGACAGTTTGGAGACACCTACTCATTCAAGGGTTTTTCTTTATTTTTACTATTTTTTACATTGTAGAATAATAGTAAGCAAGGTTTGAAATGATTATTATTATATTTATTTTTTACATTATATCAGTTTCGGCTTCTTGCTGTCAATTTGCAAATTATTTGTAATTATGTTCTGGCCCCCTGACCATCCACTCAAGAACAAAATAGTCAGCGGCTGAATCTAGTTGATGATCCCTGCTATAGGGTTTCCTCTCACCTGGTGTCTTCTGTTGTGTGGTGGAACGTTGAGACTGTTGTAGTCACTGAATTCTGGAGTAAAGGGGAGGGAAATTAAAAGTAGAGGTTGCGAGCAATGGCTCGCGAAACTACCTTCAACTTCAAACCGCACACAGAGACATACAAATGGTATCCATGAGTTCATCTTACTCTGGGTAAGTAAAAAAGGGTGCTTAATTGCCAAAATGTTGCACTATTTCTTTAATGCGCGGAATGATGGCATGTCATAGCTCTGTCCTTCATATAGCATGAAAACCATCTAAGAAAGGCACTTTTGTGAGTACTAAGTGAGCAGAGAGAAGAACAGGGCTCTAGTGTCATGACACATTACACAGTGCTTCAGTTTGCCTCTTACAGCATCAGCGAGATATGTTTAGTATTATACAGCATTATTTGCAAAAATACATAATTCAATATCATTAGTAGTTAGTAGTGCATACAGATACACTACCGGTCAAAAGTTTGGACACACCTACTCATTCAAGGGTTTTTCTTTATTTTTACTATTTTCTACATTGCAGAATAATAGTTAAGACATCAAAACTATGAAATAACACATATGGAATCATGTAGTAACCAAAAAAGTATTAAACAAATCAAAATATATTTTATATTTGAGATTCTTCAAATATATATATATTTTTTTTTTTGTCATTTAGCAGACGCTCTTATCCAGAGTGCATACATTCTTTTTTTATTTTTCATACTGGCCCCACGTGGGAATCGAACCCACAACCCTGGCGTTGCAAACGCCATGCTCTACCAACTGAGCTACATCCCTGCCAGCCATTCCCTCCCCTACCCTGGACGACGCTGGGCCAATTGTGCACCGCCCCATGGGTCTCCCGGTAGCGGCCGGCTACGACAGAGCCTGGATTCGAACCAGGATCTCTAGTGGCACAGCTAGCACTGCGATGCAGTGCCTTAGACCACTGCGCCACTCGGGAGGCGCAGTGCCACCCTTTGCCTTGATGACAGCTTTGCACACTCTTGGCATTCTCTCAACCAGCTTCACCTGAAATGCTTTTCCAACAGTCTTGAGTTCCCACACATATGCTGAGCACTTGTTGGCTGCTTTTCCTTCACTCTGCCGTCCGACTCATCCCAAACCATCTCAATTTGGCTGAGGTTGGTGGATTGTGGAGGCCAGGTCATCTGATGCAGCACTCCATCACTTTCCTTCTTGGTAAAATAGCCCTTACACAGCCTGGAGTAGGGTCATTGTACTGTTGAAAAACAAATGATAGTCCCACTAAGCCCAAACCAGATGGGATGGCGCGTCGCTGCAGAATGCTGTGGTAGCCATGCTGGTTAAGTGTGCCTTGAATTCTAAATAAATCACAGTGTCACCAGCAAAGCACCCCCACACCATAACACCTCCTCCCTCCATGCTTTACGGTGGGAAATACACATGCGGAGATCATCAGTTCACCCACACCGCGTCTCACAAAGACACGGCGGTTGGAACCAACAATCTCCAATTTGGACTCCAGACCAAAGGACAAATTTCCACTGGTCTAATGTCCATTGCTCGTGTTTCTTGGCCCAAGCAAGTCTCTTCTTCTTATTGGTGTCCTTTAGTAGTGGTTTCCATGCAGCAATTCGACCATGAAGGGCTGATTCACAGAGTCTCCTCTGAACAGGATGTTGAGATGTGTGTTACTTTAACTCTATGAAGCATTTATTTGGGCTGCAATTTCTGAGGCTGGTAACTCTAATGAACTTATCCTCTGCAGCAGAGGTAACTGAGTCGTTCATTTCTGTGACGGTCCTCATGAAAGCCAGTTATCATAGCGCTTGATGGTTTTTGCGACTGCACTTGAAGAAACTTTCAAAGTTATTGAAATGTTTCGTATAGACTGACCTTCATGTCTTAAAGTAATGGACTGTCATTTCTCTTTGCTTATTTGAGCTGTTCTTGCCATAATATGGACTTGGCCTTTTACCAAATAGGGCTATCTTCTGTATACCCACCCTACCTTGTCACAAAACAACTGATTGGCTCAAACGCATTAAGGAAAGAAATTCTACAAATTAACTTTTAAGGCGGCACACCTGTTAATTGAAATGCATTCCAAGTGACTACCTCATGAAGCTGGTTGAGAGAATGCCAAGAGTGTGCAAAGCTGTCATCAAGGCAAAGGGTGGCTATTTGAAGAATCTCAAATATAACATATATTTTGATTTGTTTAACACCGTTTTGGTTACTACATGATTCCATATGTGTTAGTTCATTGTTTTGATGTCTTCACTATTATTCTACAATGTAGAAAATAGTAAAAATAAAGAAAAACCCTTGAATGAGTAGGTGTTCTAAAACTTTTGACTGGTAGTGTACATATGTGGGTGTCTTGTCTGAGCAGTTCTTATTTGACAAATCCAGGTAGTCCATCACTCTTTCAGTCTGTTTTCTTTCTAATTAACACGATCCGGAAACCGTGAAATGTTGCATAGTGAACTAGTACTCACTGGTGTCGTTGAAGGGCACTTTCTCCTGGATGACACTACTGCTCTTTTTCACCTGTCTGTTGAGCTCTGACTGACACTTCCTCAACTGCTGCTGACTGGAGAGAGAGGGATGATGGAGAGAGAGAGGGATGATGAGAGAGAGAGGGTAGAGGAGTGAGGAGATAGTAAATGACCACTCAGTGACCATAATAAATACCTCCCTATCCACATATGCATTATAACAACCCTCATTATTCCTTCATGTTAACCACAAGCCATCTACCACATACATACAATCATTCTCCATCTACACTGAGTGTACAAAACATTAGGATCACCTGCTCTTTCCATGACAGACTGAGCATGTGCATCCAGGTGAAAGCTATGATCCCTTATTGATGTCAACTGTTAAATCCACTTCAAATCAGTGTAGATGAAGGGGTGAAGACAGGTTAAATAAGGATTTTTAAGCCTTGAGACAATTGAGACATGGATTGTGTATGTGTGCCATTTAGAGGATAAAATATTAAAGTGCATTTGAACGGGGTATGGTTGTAGGTGCCAGGCGCACCGGTTTGAGTGTGTCAAGAACTGCAATGCTGCTGGGTTTTTCACGCTCAACAGTTTCCCGTGTGTATAAAGAATGGTCCACCACCCAAAGGACATCCAGCCAACTTGACAACTGTGGGAAGCGTTGGAGTCAACATGGGCCAGCATCCCTGTGGAATGCTTTCGACACCTTGTAGAATCCATCCCCCGACGAATTGAGGCTGTTCTTAGGGAAAAAAGGGGAGGGGAGGGGGGTGCAACTCAATATAAGGAAAGTGTTCCTAATGTTTTTTTTACACTCAGTGTAACTCACTAGGTGACGACAGTAGGCTGATGTTAATCAAAGATTATCTACAGTGCCTTCAGAAAGTATTCACACCAATGACTTTTTCCACATTTTGTTGTGTTACAGCCTGAATTTAAAATGGATTACATTTTGATTTGTCACTGGCCTACACACAATACCCCATAATGTCAAACTAGAATTTCCAAAGTCGAAATGTTCACAAATTAATTAAAAATGAAAAGCTGAAATGTCTTGAGTCAAAAAGTATTCAACCCCTTTGTTATGGCAAGCCTAAAATACGTTCAGGAGTAAAAAATGTGCTTAACAAGTCACATACTTTGCATGGTCTCACTCTGTGCGCAATAATAGTGTTTAACATGATTTTTGAATGACTACCGCTCTTTACCCCACACATACAATTATCTGTAAGGTCCCTCAATCTGGCAGTGAATTTCAAACACAGCTTCAACCACAAAGACCAGGGAGGTTTTCCAATGCCTCACAAAGAGGTCAACATGGGCCAGCATCCCTGTGGAATGCTTTCGACACCTTGTAGAGTCCATGCCCGACGAATTGAGGCTGTTCTGAGGGCAGAAGGGGGTGCAACTCAATATTTGGAAGGTGTTCCTAATGTTTTGTACACTCAGTGTATATAGCATGTGTGTATCTAACCGGTACATGTGTAGATTAAAACAAGTTACTTACCATTCCTCTGTCCGAACTCTGCAGTCTTTAGCTTCCCTCTCCAGAGTCTGGGATTTCACCTGTAGCATCATGTATTCACAAATAGCATCATGTATTACTGTTGTATCATCAGCAATAACAAAAGCATGAGTTTTGCCTTTGTTCAGTCGCTTTCTTACTCTCTCATCCTCCTTCCTTCCCTCCCCCTCCCTCAATCTCAACTCGGACCTTGTCAGTCTTTCAATGGTGTCCATGTATTTGTTGGTGAGACGTCCACTACTCTCTCCTCCCCCCTCCCTCCCTCCCTCCCTCCCTCCCTCCCTCCCTCCCGTCATCCCCCTCTCTCACCTCTAGTCTGGCCTTGTCACTCTGCAGTCTCTCGATAGTGTCCATGTATTTGGAGGCAAGTCCGTCAACTCTGGCCTGGTGTTGTTCATGGTCTATCTCCAGCTCCTCCAACCGGCCCTTCAGCTGAGCCTCCTGCTGCCTGTGCTGCTCATCAGCCTCATAGAACTTAGAGTAGAACATAGAATAGAAAATAATATAACTTCATTGTCCAACCAAGGATTCAACATTTCTTTGGGCATCACCTTACAAGAATTCTAAAAACATCATCCTCAGACACACATTCCAGAACACAAAAACAACTGGTAAAATACATGATGATGTGCACATATTCAAGCCAGTAGTCTCTTGGTACACACTCACCCATACAGATAACTCCCATGTCTCAGAGACCGACATACCTGGATGTGAAGCCTCTCGTTCTCCTGGATCTTCTTCTGCAGGTCCTCATCAAACACACTCTGGGTTTGCTGCGAACCCTGCCGTGAGGGGGAGTCCCCTTTGTTCTGGTGAAGAGAAAGTGTCTGAGATCGACTACATTGCAGTCGGACTGCACAGAATCTCTGATCGACAAATCACCTTGCATCCCAAATTACTACTCATTATGTGATGTGATGAGCAGTGGTGTAAAGTACTTAAGTAAAAATACTTGAAAGTACTACTTACTACTAGTTTTTTTGGGTATCTGTACTTTACTATTTATATTTTTGACAACTTTTACTTTGACTTCACTACATTCCTAAAGAAGATTTTGTACTTTTTACTCCATACGTTTTCCCTTACACCCAAAAGTACTCGTTAAATTTTGAATGCTTAGTAGGACAGGAAAATTGCCTAATTCACACACTTATCAAGAGAACATTCCTGGTCATCCCTACGGCCCCTGATCTGGCAGACTCACTAAACACATGCTTTGTTTGTAAATGATGTCTGAGTGTTGGAGCATGCCCCTGGCTAGCCGTAAATAAAACATATGATGGCGTCTGGTTTGCTTTATATAAGGAATTTGCCATTTTTTATACTTAAGTATATTTTAGCAATTACATTATATATATATATATATATATATATATACAGTGGGGGGGGAAAAAAGTATTTAGTCAGCCACCAATTGTGCAACTTCTCCCACTTAAAAAGATGAGAGGCCTGTAATTTTCATCATAGGTACACGTCAACTATGACAGACAAAATGAGGAAAAGAAATCCAGAAAATCACATTGTAGGATTTTTTATGAATTTATTTGCAAATTATGGTGGAAAATAAGTATTTGGTCACCTACAAACAAGCAAGATTTCTAGTTCTCACAGACCTGTAACAACTTCTTTAAGAGCCTCCTCTGTCCTCCACTCGTTACCTGTATTAATGGCACCTGTTTGAACTTGTTATCAGTATAAAAAGACACCTGTCCACAACCTCAAACAGTCACACTCCAAACTCCACTATGGCCAAGACCAAAGAGCTGTCAAAGGACACCAGAAACAAAATTGTAGACCTGCACCAGGCTGGGAAGACTGAATCTGCAATAGGTAAGCAGCTTGGTTTTAAGAAATCAACTGTGGGAGCAATTATTTGGAAATGGAAGACATACAAGACCACTGATAATATCCCTCGATCTGGGGCTCACCCCGTGGGGTCAAAATGATCACAAGAACGGTGAGCAAAAATCCCAGAACCACACGGGGGGACCTAGTGAATGACCTGCAGAGAGCTGGGACCAAAGTAACAAAGCCTACCATCAGTAACACACTACGCCGCCAGGGACTCAAATCCTGCAGTGCAAGACGTGTCCCCCTGCTTAAGCCAGTACATGTCCAGGCCCGTCTGAAGTTTGCTAGAGTGCATTTGGATGATCCAGAAGAGGATTGGGAGAACGTCATATGGTCAGATGAAACCAAATTAGATTTTTTTTGTAAAAACTCAACTCGTCGTGTTTGGATGACAAAGAATGCTGAGTTGCATCCAAAGAACACCATACCTACTGTGAAGCATGGGGGTGGAAACATCATGCTTTGGGGCTGTTTTTCTGCAAAGGGACCAGGACGACTGATCCGTGTAAAGGAAAGAATGAATGGGGCCATGTATCGTGAGATTTTGAGTGAAAACCTCCTTCCATCAGCAAGGGCATTGAAGATGAAACGTGGCTGGGTCTTTCAGCATGACAATGATCCCAAACACACCGCCCGGGTAACGAAGGAGTGGCTTCGTAAGAAGCATTTCAAGGTCCTGGAGTGGCCTAGCCAGTCTCCAGATCTCAACCCCATAGAAAATCTTTGGAGGGAGTTGAAAGTCCTTGTTGCCCAGCGACAGCCCCAAAACATCACTGCTCTAGAGGAGATCTGCATGGAGGAATGGGCCAAAATACCAGCAACAGTGTGTGAAAACCTTGTGAAGACTTACAGAAAACGTTTGACCTGTGTCATTGCCAACAAAGGGTATATAACAAAGTATTGAGAAACTTTTGTTATTGACCAAATACTTATTTTCCACCATAATTTGCATATAAATTCATAAAAAATCCTACAATGTGATTTTCTGGATTTTTTTTCTCATTTTGTCTGTCATAGTTGACGTGTACCTATGATGAAAATTACAGGCCTCTCATCTTTTTAAGTGGGAGAACTTGCACAATTGGTGGCTGACTAAATACTTTTTTTCCCCACTGTGTGTGTATATATATATATATATATATATATCCAAATACTTTTACTCAAGTAGTATTTTACTGTGTGACTTATACATTATTAGGAAATTACTGAAGTATCTTTACTTTTACTCAAGTATGTCTCTACCTTGCTCTTCTTGCCCTTGGCCTCACTAGCAGCCAGCTCCTCTTGCAGCAGCTCTACTCTCTTAGCCAGCTGCTGGTTCCTGAAGGTGAGACTATCCATCTCCTGCTCCACCTTCCTCAGGCTCTGTTCTCGCTGCTTCACCTGATCCTGTAATGTCGGGGTGGAGGAGAAGACACTCAGTGACTTTCAAGTAAATTACCCCAAATTCCTAGGTTTTTCAGAAATCCTGGTTGGAGAACTCCCTTCCTGCTTATTTCTTCCAACCAGGATTGGAAATTGGAATTTTGCAACCCTATTCCAGAGGGCTCTGAATGGTTCTGTACCTTTAGAGAGGTGGAGCTGGCCTGCTCATCTACCACGCCTTTCTTCAAGACCTGGTTCTGGGCCCGGAGCTATGGAGACATGGGAGTAGACACTGAGACGTAGGTCTGCTGTAGACACACACACTAGCTCTGAAGACCAAACTGGCCAATTTTACAGTATAGCCTAGGCATTTGGCTTCTAAGCAAAGCAACATAGCTATTTTATGGATTTATTTTGTGTGAGACATCCATATTTGATGATTTAACAATAGACCTCCACTGCAATGCATGACTGCACTAACATTTCTTAAGGTTGGGTGAATGTTGCTGCTTATTGGGCAACTACACACCACATATTATATGGGAAAATACAATGAACAGGATATTGGCCAGTGGGGGGCTGTGATTTTACAACAGTCAGACAGGAAACACCATGCATTCTCTTCGCTGCCTGTCAACTGACACAGTGTGGGTCAGGAGGATGGTTTTTATATTAACCAAAGCTAGTCTGTCTTTAACTGACATTTATTTTAATAATGCCTACAAAGGGCTTTTAGGATGGGTACTATTGACATGGCTACCAATCCATTTTCTACCTAACACATGACAGCAGGTTTGAAGAACATGGCTGCCCATGTTTTACTCAGGCTGTGTAACATTGTGTTGTTTAGAGAAGGGTGGCTTCTGTCCTGGCCTCCCCTCCTCCCTCTGTCATAAAAGACTGACACACATTGTGAGTGTCAGCTGACATATCATGCAGTGACCTAGGCTAAATCAAAGAGTGAAGAAACCATCCAAAATAACGTTAGCTATGAGGTTGCTTTGATTGACTGACAGCAGTTTGCTACATCCTTTGCTGTACACAGTTCACGTTCATAGTAAACAGTGCAGTAAAGAAATCACCAAATATTGTCTTTGATTATCACAAACACCAATCAACCTATTAATGGGATGCTCTCTCTATACCTGACAATACACCCAGGAGATTGACACACTAGTGAGTAGTGACACCCTGAAAAGGAACTTGATTGGAAACAGATTGAGCTACGTAACTAGATACTTTGACTAGTACCTTTTAGTTTTTAGGTCAACTAACATTAGCTACCTAGCTAGTTATAATAGCTACAATATACACAACCGGTCAAAAGTTTTAGAACACCTACTCATTCAAGGGTTTTTCTTTAAAATTTTACTATTTTCTACATTGTAGAATAATAGTGATGACATCAAAACTATGAAATAACACATTTGGAATCATGTAGTAACCAAAAAATTCAATAAATCAAAATATATTTTATATTTGAGATTCTTCAAATAGCCACCCTTTGCCATGATGACAGCTTTGCACACTCTTGGCATTCTCTCAACCAGCTTCACCTGGAATGGTTTTCCAACAGTCTTGAAGGAGTTCCCACATATGCTGAGCACTTGTTGGCTGCTTTTCCTTCACTCTGCCGTCCGACTCATCCCAAACCATCTCAATTTGATTGAGGTCAGGGATTGGAGGCCAGGTCATCTGATGCAGCACTCCATCACTCTCCTTCTTGGTAAAATAGCCTTTACACAGCCTGGAGGTGTATTGGGTCATTGTCCTGTTGAAAAACAAATGATAGTCCCACTAAGCCCAAACCAGATGGGATGGCGTATCGCTGCAGAATGCTGAGGTAGCCATGCTGGTTAAGTGTGCCTTGAATTCTAAATAAATCACAGAGTGTCAACAGCAAAGCACCCCCACACCATAACACGCCCTCCCTCCATGCTTTACGGTGGGAAATACACATGCGGAGATCATCCATTCACCCACACTGCATCTCACAAAGACACGGCGGTTGGAACCAAAAATCTCCCATTTGGACTCCAGACCAAAGGACACATTTCCACCGGTCTAATGTCCATTGCTCGTGTTTCTTGGCCCAAGCAAGTCTCTTCTTCTTATTGGTGTCCTTTAGTAGTGGTTTCTTTACAGCAATTCGACCATGAAGGCCTGATTCACACAGTCTCCTCTGAACAGTTGATGTTGAGCCAGTTTCATCATAGCGCTTGATGGTTTCTGAGACTGCACTTGAAGAAACTTTCAAAGTTATTGAAATGTTTCGTATAGACTGACCTTCATGTCTTAAAGTTATGATGGACTGTCGTTTCTCTTTGCTTATTTGAGCTGTTCTTGCCATAATATGGACTTGGTCTTTTACCAAATAGGGCTATCGTCTGTATACCAACCCTACCTTGTCATAAAAAAACTGATTGGCTCAAACGCATTAAGGAAAGAAATTCTACAAATTAACTTTTAAGGCGGGACACCTGTTAATTGAAATGCATTCCAGGTGACTACCTCATGAAGCTGGTTGAGAGAATGCCAAGAGTGTGCAAAGCTGTCATCAAGGCAAAGGGTGGCTATTTGAAGAATCTAAAATCTAAAATATATTTTGATTTGTTTAACACTTTTTTGGTTACTACATGATTCCATATGTGTTATTTCATAGTTTTGATGTCATCACTATTATTCTACAATGTAGAAAATAGTAAAATTAAAGAAAAACCCTTGAATGAGTAGGTGTTCTAAAACTTTTCACCGGTAGTGTATATACACACACAAAAGTTTGTGGACACCCCTTCAAATTAGTGGATTCGGTTATTTCAGCCACACCCGTTGTTGACAGGTGTATAAAATCGAGCACACAGCCATGCTATCTCTATAGACAAACATTGGCAGTAGAAGAGCTCAATGACTTTCAACGTGGTACCATCATAGGATGCCACCTTTTCAACAAGTTTGTAAAATGTCTGCCCTGCTAGAGCTGTCCCGGTCAACTGTAAGTGATGTTTAGTGAAATGGAAACATCTAGGCGCAACAATGGCTCAGCCACTTAGTGGTAGGCCAAATAAGCTCACAGAACAGGACCGCCGAATGCTGAAGCACGCAGCGCGTAAAAATGGTCTGTCCTATGTTGCAACACTCAGTACCGAGTTCCAAACTGCCTCTGGAAGCAACGTCAGCACAATAACTGTTCGTCGGGAGCTTCATGAAATGGGTTTCCATGGCTGAGCAGCCGCAGACAAGCTTAAGATCACCACACACAATGCCAAGGGTCGGCTGGAGTGGTGTAAAGTTTGCCGTTCTTTGGTGGAGGAGGAATAATGGTCTGGGGCTGTTTTTCATGGTACGGGCTAGGCCCCTTAGTTGCAGTGAAGGGAAATCTAAACGCTACTGCATACAATGACATTCTAGACGGTTCTGTGCTTTCAACTTTGTGGCAACAGTTTGGGGAAGGCCCTTTCTTGTTTCAGCATGACAATGCCCCTGTGCACAAAGCGAGGTCCATAAATAAATAGTTTTTTTCGAGATTGGTGTGGAAGAACTTGACTGGCCTGCACAGAGCCCTGACCTCAACCCCATCAAACACCTTTGGGATGAATTGGAACGCCGACTGCCAAGCAGGCCTAATCACCCAACATCAGTGCCCGACCACACTAATGCTCTTGTGGCCGAATGGAAGCAAGTCCCCGCAGCAATGTTCCAACATCTAGTGGAAAGCCTTCCCAGAAGAGTGGAGGCTGTTATAGCAGCAAAGGGGGGGACCAACTCCATATTAATGCCCATGATTTTGGAATGAGATGTTCGACGAGCAGGTGTCCACATACTTTTGGTCATGTAGAGTACCTTGCAATCCATTGCAGCTAGTTAGAATGAATCAGCAATCGGATTAAATAGCCAAGAATTGTGGCTAAAGATAGAGCAACAAAGAACTGCTTACCTTTGAATACTCCTGGGCCAATTTGGTGTATTTCGCTTGCAGGTCTGCAGCCATTGCTTTGGGAAAAAATAAAGCTAGTTTGCTGGATAACCAATATGTAAACGAATAGCTAGCTAACGCGAGAAGATAAACTGGCTAGTTACTGTAGCGCAGGTACACTGACTAGCTAGCTAGTTAGCTTGCCGTTTCGTTTCTTTATCTGAATGACAGTTGGTGCATGTGACTGATAAACTGTCTCATGCCATGTAAGAAAGGGAGGCTAGCTAATCTATTTGATTGAGTGGTAAAGCCGGATGTTATTCAGCGATCTCGCAAGCTAACGTCTCATCAGCAGCAATGAAAAAGCCCTTCCGGGTCAGTGAATTTTCCAAATAAAAGTCCTCCACGTAATGGTAGAAAAGTGTCCATCAACTGTATTTTTCATGATCTGAAAAATAATTGTGTATAACTTAACAATGACTCATATTTGTTATTGTTTAAGTGATATTTGCATCACATTGGGGTTTTGAAAACATGTTTCTAGGTCAAATAAAGAATAACACATTTATGTATACAGTATACACATATACAGTGGAGAGAACAAGTATTTGATACAATGACGATTTTGCAGGTTTTCCTACTTACAAAGCATGTAGAGGTCTGTAATTTTTATCATAGGTACACTTCAACTGTGAGAGACGGAATCTAAAACAAAAATCCAGAAAATGACATTGTATGATTTTTAAGTAATTAATTTGCATTTTATTGCATGACATAAGTATTTGATACATCAGAAAAGCAGAACTTAATATTTGGTACAGAAACCTTTGTTTGCAATTACAGAGATCATACGTTTCCTGTAGGTCTTGACCAGGTTTGCACACACTGCAGCAGGGATTTTGGCCCACTCCTCCATACAGACCTTCTCCAGATCCTTCAGGTTTCGGGGCTGTCGCTGGGCAATACGGACTTTCAGCTCCCTCCAAAGATTTTCTATTGGGTTCAGGTCTGGAAACTGGCTAGGCCACTCCAGGACCTTGAGATGCTTCTTACGGAGCCACCCCTTAGTTGCCCTGGCTGTGTGTTTCGGGTCGTTGTCATGCTGGAAGACCCAGCCATGACCCATCTTCAATGCTCTTACTGAGGGAAGGAGGTTGTTGGCCAAGATCTCGCGATACATGGCCCCATCCATCCTCCCCTCAATACAGTGCAGTCGTCCTGTCCCCTTTGCAGAAAAGCATCCCCAAAGAATGATGTTTCCACCTCCATGCTTCACGGTTGGGATGGTGTTCTTGGGGTTGTACTCATCCTTCTTCTTCCTCCAAACACGGCGAGTGGAGTTTAGACCAAAAAGCTATATTTATGTCTCATCAGACCACATGACCTTCTCCCATTCCTCCTCTGGATCATCCAGATGGTCATTGGCAAACTTCAGACGGGCCTGGACATGCGCTGGCTTGAGCAGGGGGACCTTGCGTGCACTGCAGGATTTTAATCCATGACGGCGTAGTGTGTTACTAATGGTTTTCTTTGAGACTGTGGTCCCAGCTCTCTTCAGGTCATTGACCAGGTCCTGCCGTGTAGTTCTGGGCTGATCCCTCACCTTCCTCATGATCATTGATGCCCCACGAGGTGAGATCTTGCATGGAGCCCCAGACCGAGGGTGATTGACCGTCATCTTGAACTTCTTCCATTTTCTAATAATTGCGCCAACAGTTGTTGCCTTCTCACCAACCTGCTTGCCTATTGTCCTGTAGCCCATCCCAGCCTTGTGCAGGTCTACAATTTTATCCCTGATGTCCTTACACAGCTCTCTGGTCTTGGCCATTGTGGAGAGGTTGGAGTCTGTTTGATTGAGTGTGTGGACAGGTGTCTTTTATACAGGTAACGAGTTCAAACAGGTGCAGTTAATACAGGTAATGAGTGGAGAACAGGAGGGCTTCTTAAAGAAAAAACTAACAGGTCTGTGAGAGCCGAATTCTTACTGGTGGTAGGTGATCAAATACATTACTTTCCATTTTAGTCATTTAGCAGACCTCTTATCCAGACATACATATAAGTGATTCATGATTTTTGTTTTAACTGGCCGCCCCGTTGGGAATGCAACCCACAACCCGCTGGCGTTGCAAACGCCATGCTCTACAACTGCAGCTACAATCACTGCCGCCATTCCTCCCCACCTGGACGACGCGCCAATTTTGTCGGCCTACATGCAGTCTTCCCGTCGCGGCCGCGGCAACAGGGGGCGTCTATGTCATGCTGCAATAAAATGCAAATTAAACTAAAATCATACAATGTGATTTTCTGGATTTTTGTTATAGATTCCGTCTTCACAGTTGAAGTGTACTATGACAAAATTCAAACACTCTCTACTGCTTTGTATAGGAAAACTGCAAAAATCGGCAGTTGTATCATACTTGTTCCATCCCACTGTAGCAACATACAGGAAAACTATCATATCGGGGTGTCCATAAAACCAGGGTCTGTCCTTCTCGACTGGGTCCCTAAAATACAAATCAGGTGAGTTTGAACAAAAAGCTCGGACTTTTACTGTGTTCAAAAAGTGTAACATGCGCTGGTATAGTTCCAGGTCTTTCTGCAAAGTGTTCCAAGATTATGTAAAGGGAAACTATAACAACATGTAACTACATATAATCCTTTATCCTTTATTTAACCAGAGGTCACATTGAGATGTACATATATTTTACAAGTGAGCCCTGGAAAGAAAGCAGCATAAATATACAGTAGTCAGGGATGGGAAAAAAAATTATAAAATTCAATTACACAAAATACAATTACAAAATACCATAAAGATCAATGTATCAAAATAAACTACGAAATTATTGTATTTTGAAATGTATTTAATTAAATAGTTAAAGGTGCAATATGCAGAAATCACTCCACCATTTCCTGGTTGCTAACATTCTAATAGTTTGCCTAATTTCAGTTTGTGACAAAACAAGCAATGTAGTGAATCATTGTACCATCTAAACCTCTGTGAAATATATTTCCAATAACCATAAATATTGTATTTTCAGCTGTTTGAAGCTGGTGTACAAAACCGAAAGTAAAAGATGCAAAAACTAAACGTTAGCACGGGAAGCACAGAAATAGTGCACATAGAACAGATCTACTGCTTCATAGACTTGCTTTCAATGATAATGACAGACATATAACTCACATTTCTATGTGAATTTGGTAGGGTTGCCCAAAATGTTACATTTTGCAGCTTTAATAAAATGTTTAAATATAAAAATACATTTGCTAGTAGCCTGCCGAACAGCAACAACATTCTCAGTAACAGTTACAAAACGTTTTACTTGCTATGACTGTGATATGTGTTTATCTACCTTAGTTGAATGCACTGACTGTAAGTCACTCTAGATAAGAGTGTTTGCTAAATGACAAAAATGTACATGTATATGTGAAATTGAACATACCAAAATGAACTGCAAAGCACACTGGGTATTATTATTGGCCTTGTTTCGGGGTCATGTCTAGCTGCTGCGTTAATTCCCCTAACCTTCTGTGTAAGTTCTCCTAAACCTGTTACGAAAAGTCAATTTTGACAAAAGCTGTATCCCTTCTAGACAAATCCTTGTTTTGGGCAGAGCTCATTAGAATAATACTCAGCATGCTTTGCAATTGTCCATTTTTATATACACATTTATATTTACTGAACAAAAATATAAACGCAACATGCAACAATTTTAAATATTTTACTGAGTTACAGTTTATATAAGGAAATCAGTCAATTGAAATAAATTCATTAGGCCTTAATCTATGGATTTCACATGACTGGGAATACAGATATGCATCTGTTGGTCACAGATACCTTAAAGACAAAGGTAGGGGTGTGTATCACAAAACCAGTCAGTATTTGGTGTGACCACTATTTGCCTCATGCAGCGCGACACATCTCCTTCACATAGACTTGATAAGGCTGTTGATTGTGGCCTGTGGAATGTTGTCCCACTCCTCTTCAATGGCTGTGCGATGTTGCTGGATATTGGCGGGAAATGGAACACGCTGTCATACACGTTGATCCAGAGCATCCCAAACATGCTCAATTGGTGACATGTCTGGTGAGTATGCAGGCCATGGAAGAACTGGGCTATTTTTAGCTTCCAGGAATTGTGTACAGATCCTTAAGACATGGGGTCATGCATTATCATGCTGAAACATGAGGTGATGGCGGCGGATGAACGGCACAACAGGCCTCAGGATCTCGTCATGGTATCTCTGTGCATTCAAATTGCCATTGCAATTGTGTTCGTTGTCCGTAGCTTTTGCCTGCACATACCATAACCCCACCATGGGTCACTCTGTTCACAACGTTGACATCAGCAAACCGCTCTCCCACACGACACCATACACGCTGTCTGCCATCTGCCCGGGAACAGTTGAAACCGGGATTCATCCGTGAAGGCACACTTCTCCAGCGTGCCAGTAGCCATCGAAGGTGAGCATTTGCCCACTGAAGTCGGTTACGATGCCAAACTGCAATCAGGTCAAGACCCTGGTGAGGACGACGAGCATGCAGGTTAGCTTCCATGACATTTTACATTTACGTCATTTAGCAGACGCTCTTATCCAGAGCGACTTACAGTTAGTGAGTGCATACATTTTTATTTTATTTTTCATACTGGCCCCCGGTGGGAATCGAACCCACAACCCTGGCGTTGCAAATGCCATGCTCTACCAACTGAGCTACATCCCTGCCGACCATTCCCTCCCCTACCCTGGGCCAATTGTGCACCACCCCTTGGGTCTCCCGGTCGCGGCCGGCTACGACAGAGCCTGGATTCGAACCAGGATCTCTAGTGGCACAGCTAGCACTGTGATGCAGTGCCTTAGACCACTGCGCCACTCGGGAGACATGAGACAGTTTCTGAGAGTTTGTGCAGAAATTCTATGGTTGTGCAAACCCACAGTTTCATCAGCTCTCCGGGTGCTGGTCTCAGACGATCCTGCAGGTGAAGAAGCCGGCGGGGTTACACGTTGATCGGCGGTTGTGAGGCCGGTTGGACAAACTGCCAAATTCTCTAAAACGACGTTGGTAGAGAAAGGCTTAT